CTGAGTTCAAGGCCATCCAAGGCTACCTAGTGAGATTCTCTCTTAGGAAATCATTCCTATTAAATAAATAGATATAAATAAATAAACAGTAAGTGATCTTCAAGTAGACTCTGGACACCATGGTTTCTCTTTCACTAACTTGAAGGGTCTCGGTGTATCCCTCAACAGCGCCAGGGCAACTCTCAGCCCACCAGTGCTTCAGAATACAATGCTGCTGCGCTGATGGAGCTGCTTCGGGAAAAGGAGGAGAGAATTCTGGCCCTGGAAGCAGATATGACAAAGTGGGAGCAGAAGTATTTGGAAGAGAATGTGATGAGACATTTTGCTCTGGATGCTGCTGCAACTGTGGCTGCACAGCGGTAAGTAGTTGGTAGGAGGGCCACTAGCTGAAAGAGGAGAATGGGAGAACTGGGTATGGTAATTCATTCCGAGATTTCCCAGTGTTTAGTCTCCTTCAGTACTTTTTTTTCCTCAATATATTTTCTCCTCAAATATATTTTCTTTCTTCTAATTATACATGGACTGGATGGCTTTGGGGATAGAGGTATATATAAGGACTTCAAATCGTTTGCTCTATGGACTCATGGAATTATTTCAATTATGGAATCATAATTGAATTTGCCTTAGCAAGCTGGAGCGTTTCAGGTGGACTTAGCTAAGTGTTTGGACACCTTCCCCCCACCCCCACATATAGACACCATCAGCCATATGTGCATGTTATTTAGTCTCTTCACCAAAGTGAAAAATCACCTCCAAAGAAATTCCACTCAGAAAGTGAATGACACTCAGGAGTAGCGGCTGCCATTTGATAGTTCTGGCTCTTCCTGGGTGTGTGCCGAATATGAGTCCATCACTGCCCTTTGAGAAGGTCTATATTTGAAGGCCACATTCTCTGTATTCCTGAGCTCATCACATATAAGTAGTCTCATTCTATCTGGTACACAGAGAAAAAGGCAAGAGGAGTGTTATTTCTGGTTTCTTAGGCACCTTCTTCGTACATTATAAAAAATAATTATTAGCTTTTAGAGGAAGCAATTACTCTTCACTAGTTTTTCTATGTTGTTGCTGTTCATAAGCATTAGCTGCAAAAGAACCCAATAATGGGTAGATCCTGCATGTAGACTTGAGTATTGAAGGTAGTGTAGAGTATATTGCACCCAAACAGGCTTCTATCCAGAAAGCTAATGGAAACAGTAGTGTTTTGTTTTACATTCTTTCAAATGCGGTACATCAGTAGAGTCCAGCACTTGCTAGATATTGGGTGGTGATAGGTGTGTGGGATGTATCAGTGTGCAAGATGGACTGGCACATTCTCAACCTGCTCAGGATTCTCCCAGAATTATCCAATCCTCTGTGTGATCATCCTGTCTCCAGATAACCTTATACCTTTAATGGCCTGAAGCTGTCTTTGGTCTGATCTTGAGGTTTGCATGAGCTGAAGCTTCCCTGGCTTTGTTTCCTGAGAAAAACATGCTCAGTAAAAGCCAATTTCATAATGGTGTCCAAGGAAACTGCAGCTGTGTCAGAAGATAGTCACAAGGCTTGGGGGCAGATTTGAAGCAGAATGTAGTGTCAAATTATCTACAGGCTCCCAAAGAAGTACAGCACTTGTTCAGAGTTATTTGTGAAAAACTAACGCTGAAAACCTAGCTGTGGTGAGCCAGGGAGATGCAGGGTAACTTTGGTCAGCTTTATGCAGATGAATGATAGAGGTCACAATGGTGCAGCGCATGAGAAAATGCTGGAAGGCAGTACCTTGGGGCTGACAACAGATTGGACTCCAGGGCAAAGTACAGGAGAGCCAGAAAGGTGCTTGGCATGATGGGCCTTATATAAAGACAGAACACCCATTCCTCTTCCTCCTCTCTTGAAAGCACTATGTAGTGATGAAGTCTCTTGCAGATCGATGTCAAAAATATGTTGGCTTCCATAAAGTGCATTTGATTTAAATTGAATTGCTTTCTTTTACTAGGTAGTAAGTGTTCACATAATTACTGTTTTCAGCAAAATATGTATGATTATCATTTAATATGATAAAACAAAGCCTGTTCCCAGTGTTCGAAGCTAGTAGGAACACCTTCTACTAGAGGCAAACATTCCAAATCTGGGCTGTTTGTAACCGATCCAGACAACAGGAGAGAATGGGAGAGAGATTATCTTGGAATTCCTGTACATAAATGAGCTAGACTAGATGAATCCTCCAGATCCTTCTACGAGAGGTTTATACATATTTACAGAGACAGTTTCATTGCACTTTGCTATGGAGAGTGGGTCCCTTTTCTTCATTCTTCATTAAGTGACCAATTTGGAGAATAACAGACAGAAAATGTTATTTCTTAACTTATAGGAGTTTCTGTCCACCTCGCCAAATCTCTTCACATTCCTTCTCCATTTGTTACCTCCCTACCAGGCAACCTAAAGGGAGACATGAAGAGTCTGCCCTGTGACCCTTTTCTGTGGTAGAAAGCTTCATATACTTGTATATATTCTTTCATTCAATGCAATGTTTAAGTGCCTGGACTACTGGCTGTAGATGGAAAGTGCTCAACATTTAATTAAGGAAGGAAAGAAGAAAAGTGGAGGAGCAAAGAAGGAAGGAAAGGAGGCAGGGAGAGAAATAAATTGTTTTCTAAATGTGTAACTTCTATTAACCAATTTAGAATTAGTACTACATTTTCACATTCTGCCTGGTGTCTGTGTATTCTATCAACATCTCAGTGTAAAATGATCTAAACTTCACAGGTCTATGACAGGTAGCTGACAGGTAAGTGACATGTGTCACATTAAGTCACCTTGTTCTTGTGATATTAGTAGCAGTTATCAGTGACAGCAATTTTTTTCTGTTAAAATACTAGTCAACACAGTAAAAACTAACCACTTCGAGTGTACAATTGGACGACTTTTGGAAAATGAATTCACCAGTGGAGCTACTACCAAAATCAAAATCGAAGACAGATTCTCACATGACCTTGTGTCCCTTAAGCTTGATGCTTTCCACCCTAGACAATGACTCATCTGGCTCTTGTCACTATAAAAGGAGTTGTATTGTGTTTGCACTTTTTGTTTTCTTCTTGTGCTCAGCATAATTATTTTGTGCCTTCCCATTGCATGTATGTATTAATAGCCCATGCCTTTTTATTTCTGTGTAATGTGCCATGCAATGGATATATCATAGATTATTTATCCATCCATCTGGTGATGTCTATTTGGATTATTTCCAGTTTGGGACTTTTAGGTAAAATAAAATACAAAATTTAATGTAATAGTAAAAAAGTTTATTTTCTTGGGTTAGGCATACTAGGGTGTCCTGTTTATACCCTTTCTAGTACTTTGATTCTGACTAATAACCTTTTGTCAAGGGAAAGCTGTTGATACATGTTTTTTCAAGAAGATACAGAGGACTAGAAGTGTCCAGGAGTGATACTGATCAGAAGTGCACATAGGTGAATTCTATTCATTGAAAAGGAAGGAAAGAGTGGGGGAAAGAAAGAATATATTGAAGACCTTTGGCTTGTCTAGAAAGGAAATTTAATTTTTTTCTTATTTAAAATAATTACTTGAGGTAGTGGGTGCAATGATGTGTTATTGTCAGTACACCAGAGGGCCAGGGAGAAAGGCTGTGAGTTCAAAGCTAGCTTAGGCTACATAAGACCCTGTATAAAATAAAATAGTATTTTAATATTTTTTATCCTAAGGATACTAGAAAATCTATTTTCTTTGTCGAAAACAGGCAGTGCTCTTCGGAGAACTTTAAACCTATAACTTGTCTTTACAATGCTCAAAGGTAGGTGCTGTCATCCATTTGACTCTCAGGCACATAGGAATTATATCATCTAGAAACCCATACTAAAGGACACAAGAGCCAGAACTTAAATCAACACTTTATCACTTTACCTTTCTCCTAGATTCTCTGCATTCAGGCTCCAAGTTACTGCATCTCTAGAGAATCTAGGGGCTTAATAAGATAAATGGAAATCCCTACCAAGAAGTTCTTGTTCATTCCCAAAAGCCCAGATTTGGAATACAGATTTTGAGTTTGAGCTCATAAATGGTGAATTTATGCCTGAAGAGCAGCAAAAACATAATATGATAACAACCCATCAAACCATGCAGTCTGTTACATTGAATTTACTGAATTGGGTTGTTAACTGTACTTGGAATGTTTCTGTTTTATATTGGGAAATGTAAGTCCAGAAAAATAGGAAGTAAAATAAGAGAGGGCAGGAAGAAGACACATAGCACACATGGCTATTTGTTCCTTCCTTAATGACCTTTCTTGGCTTCCATATTCTACTTCTCAAGTGTGTATTTTGTTATAGTTACCTTGTTTTCTACCATGACTTCTGAGAAATGCTGTAATAGTAGTCCTGACATTTCTGAAGTTAAACTTAAAATCTCCAACAGCTTATTGGATCTTGTCTTATGGTTGTTCTCAAGACAACTTCCCTCCAATAGCTCTGAAATCTAAAGTCATCAGCACTTTCCAAAAATTCTCTCCTTGATTTCCTGTGTAACAGCAAACAATATTCCATGACTTGAATTACAAGTATAGTTCTCATTTATCCTTTCACCTCCGTAATGCTGCCATTGACATGGCCTCTAAGTTCAATCACATCTACCTCCTCCAGCCTATTCCCATTTCCCTGGCTACATGACTGGTTTGTGTTTTCATTATTGCCTCGGGGGATTACTACAATCATCTTCCTAGCTGGTCTTCTTGATTCATGTGCCTCTCTCTTCTGGTCTATCCATCACATTTCCGCAACAGATAGTGCTATTGTCCTAAAGCTTGGCACAGGTCCTTTCATTCCCCACAGAAAGCTCTAGTAATTTTCAGTGTCTATTAAAGTCCAAACTCATTCCTGTAGTGGTTAATTATTTATCTTTTGTCTTCCCTTGCAAGTTTCCTGAAGCCAGGGACTAATCATTTCCACGTGTTTCTCCCCTCTGGCTCCCCCCATGTTCTACTTATGTTAAAGTTCTTGTATTAAGTCAGCAGCAGAATGTTACCCATAGGAAAAGATGAATCATGTTTATTGATTTTTTTAAATACTATTTTTGATCATTTGAGACAGGGTCTCACTATGTGACCTTGCCTGGCCTAAAGCTTGCTCTACAGAGCTGGTCTTGAACTTGTAGTGGTCCTCCTGCCTCAGCCTTCCCAGTCCTGATTACAGGCATGAAACTCTTAACTAGTCAAGATGAAGTTTAAATGTCTACTGGGCAATTTAAATAGGGCTGGGTTGTGGTGGGACACACCTTTAATCCTCTACTCAGGAGGCAGAGGCAGGTGGATCTCTTGAGTTCGAGGCTAGCCTAGTGTACAGAGCAAGAGCCAGAACAGCCAGAGCTACACACAGAGAAACCCGGTCTTGAGAAACAAAAGGGGCATTTTAATTAGGAAGTCATCAGTGACAGCTTCGTACTGTAGTTTGGATTAAGCTATTAGAGAAAAGAAGAGATAATGTTTGGGCTACTGACAAACATCTGTTTAAGAATTTGAGATGATGGTATATCAGGCTCGGGGGCATGTGTCTTAGGCTTTGTATGCTGTTTTCAGACTGCAACCAGTATCCTGATATTCATGAGGGCAGTCTCAGAGTACTGGAACTTGTTCTTCAAATTCTGTACTAGCTTGCATTTGTGAAGCCAATGGCTTCATAGCTCTAGTCTTCTACAAGGAAGATTGATATTGAGGGCTGTCCTGGCAGCCCTGTAGGAATTCACTAAGTGGCCCACATTTTCAGGCTCCATTCCTGAGGAGTTCACAGTGTCCATATCAATTAGCTGGCAGGGCTTTGTTTAACAAAACTGGTCTTTTATGCAATGAAAGTGGCAGTAGGCCAGTACTAGTTCCCCCAATGACAAACTGTATGTTCAAGCCCCCAGTGTCTGTAGACACCACGAACTTTTCAAGAGGCTTGGCTCTAAAGTGTTAGCCTTCAGTTTCCCTTGGCACTGTGCTAGGGCAGGAATGGCCTCCAGGTCCAAGGGGTAGAATATTTTTTTGGAGGGGGGTAGAATGTTTTAAAGTCATACCCACTTTTTGTTATTCTCTTTCTAACTATGTACTTTACAATATTAAAAAGCATTGCTGAGTGTTTACTGTGCCTGATGGTACATGTTTTTACATGAATAAGTTTATTTTGTATAAAGTGGTAGGAAATGTCATTTCAGTTGTCATTTTGATATGAGGAAGAATAAGCATAAAACATGTTAACTGAGTTTCAGATATCAGCAATTTTGTTAGTGGCAGAGTATTTGTGGAAGCTGAGACTATCCCTGGCCTGGCTATAGTAAAAGCCTTGATATTAAGTACTATGCCATGCTGATCCTCTCAGACAGTCCCGTAGGATTGTGAACAAGTGGATTGCACGAGAGGAATATAAAAATTGAGAATGTTAAAATAGTGGGAATTTGGCAAATGATGAGAGCAACTGTATCCCTCCCATTTCTTGCCAATTCCAATAAATGGGTGTCAACTTGGCAAACGAGCTATAGGCATTGAGACAGCATTGGCTTTTGTGGAGGCTTACCAAACTTCCCCAATCTTAACGTTAACTAACCACCTGTTCATTCCTGTTATTATATTACACCCAGCATGTACTCATCATAATCTCAATGCTAAAAGAACATAGCTGCTTAGCTTCCAGCAGATAATATGCCTAGGATCTGGAAGAAGTACAGCGAAGCAGGGACAATTCACTCTTCCTCAGTCTATTGTCCCCATTTCCTTTGTAATTCCATGTATGTCCTCCCTTAATCATAATACCTCTTTCCCTTAGCCCTCATCTCTGTTTCCCTGTCTTTTGCCTCTCCTCCCCTCCCCATCTCTGCCTCTCCCATTCTCTTCTATGCACACATGTTTCTCTTTGTTAATAGTCTGAGACAATTTCAGGTGGAGTGTGATAACCCATTGCACAGTCATTTAGTTGGTGTAAGCTCATGCATTCAGCGATAGTGGTTCTGACGTAGATTAGATAAAGAACCAAATAGCACCAAGTCAAAGGCCCTTTTTGTTAGTTCATGTGTCCAAATTGATTTTAACTGTTTATGTGCCTGTTGTTTGTTTCTAGCCCTTGTATGTAAATGACACTCAACTGTCACAAATCCTACTCAGCAATCCTCTGATTTTCTTCAAAATTTAACCTCTCCACTTTGTGACTGTCAGAAGAATAAAGTGGAAAGTGTACATATTCCTCTTGCTGTTTGGTGACCTAAAATCTTGACTGAGACTAGCTTCTAGAAGGTTTGGGGAGACATGCTTATCTAGTTCCATAAAGCCAATGTGTACACATTTTACCAAATCCCCTCTGACTTTGATGGCCATGTCCATGCCGGTGCATCTTCCACCCTGAAATCTTCCATGTCGAAAGCTCTTTCTAGTAAGTCACTCAGACACCAACCATTCCTATTGAGATTAATTTTGCTTCGAATGTTTTCAGCAAAGTCTCCATTGACTTAGGATAGAGACTACCATCTATTGATTTTGATGCCTGTCCATTTTCCTCCTCAGAGACACAACTGTCATTAGCCACTCTCCTAACACCAGCTATGACACTGCCTTAGAGGCCCGCATCCAGAAGGAAGAGGAAGAAATCCTGATGGCCAACAAGCGCTGCTTGGACATGGAGGGAAGGTAAAATCTGAATATGGACACAGATGGGTTGAGAAGTTGATACTGAGACCAGCTAGATCAATAGAGAAGGACAAGAAAGTTTATTCTTAAGTGATGACCTTGATTTTGTAGCCTGCTCCCTGATCCCTCCATTTTCACCCCTGCCAGTCGGTTACCTAGGATTTGATGTGATGACTTTTCTAGAACGTTCTTACTAACAAAGCAGTTCCCAGTAGGGTTGCTTTCCCCTGGATTTTGTATTCTGCTAGATCTGAGTTTTTAGCGTTCCTACTCTGAGGTATTCTTCATAGCACCGCAGCTCAATTCTGTAATGCAGCTGACTTCACGACATCTGTTCACACTGGGAAATACAGCATCCAATGTCTTCTTCTTTTTTTTAAAGACTTTATTTATTTATTATGTATACAACATTCTGCTTCCATGTATATCTGCACACCAGAAGAGGATACCAGATCCCATAATGGATGTTTGTGAGCCACCATGTGGTTGCTGAGAATTGAACTCAGGACCTCTGGAGGAGCAGTCAGTGCTCTTAACCTCTGAGCCATCTCTCCAGCCCACCCAATGTCTTCTTTAGACTCAGTGTCATTTACTTGTTACCTGGAGGTCATGTCTTAGTAGAAGACTCCATCTTATCACTGAACTTCCTGTTACTATGGAAGAGCTCCTTCAACAAAGCGTGACATCTTTCCTATATAGCCTTTCTGTTTGCCAATATTTGACTTGGATTTTCTGATGTGTCAGCAGAAGCTCTTAGACGTTCTCTTGCATCTACTTGGCAGTCCAGGGGATGCAATATTTTTTTTTCTTTAAAGCTCTAACATATCAATGGTTCTTCCCTCCAACTCAGAATAAACTGGACCAAGACCTAATTGAAAAGATAAAGGGAATGCAAATCCATTTAGGCAGTGAGATCAGAATGCAGAGGTAACTTTCTGTGTGTGCTTTCTTTTGGGCTTTTTAGGATTAAGAGCCTCCATGCCCAGATTATTGAGAAGGACGCCATGATCAAAGTGCTGCAGCAGCGCTCCAGAAAGGAGCCAAGTAAGACAGAGCAGCTGTCATCCATGAGACCAGCGAAGTCTCTGATGTCCATTTCCAATGCTGGATCAGGCCTGCTCGCCCACTCATCTACCCTGACTGGTACCCCCATCATGGAGGAGAAGCGAGATGACAAAAGCTGGAAGGGGAGCCTAGGTAATGAAAATAAGAACAAATAAGGGACGCGCACAGTGACAGACTTAGAGAGAGGGTGCCCTGCCTGTGTCACACGCAGCAAGGGAAAGAGACAACGATTCTGGTTCTAGAGAGAATTTGGGGTTACTTTTTTCCCTGATGGAACTAGTTGAATGGCCAGGAGCCCTGAAGTCTCATGGTAAGAATATTAACTGAGGCCAAAAATGAGAATCCTGAGTTCTTTGGGGATGGGAAGGAAGATAGCTTGAATTTTATGTGCAAAATTCTCAGATTTGGCTTTTGCCACATGGGAACTTTGTTCAAAAATCAAATGGACTTCATCTCAGGCAAAATTCAAAATTACAGCCTCACTGTGTTCCTTCCTTCCTCCCCTACAGAAAGAGGACCCAAAGTTCTCTTTAAGCTAATGAGGTGAGGTGGCAGTGTTCTGATATGGGAACAGAATGTGCTTTTTCTTTAATTCCTGCCCATTTCACCCCCTCTAATTAAAGCCTCAGAGGCCCATAGATATTGAGACACATTTTTGAAACCGAGGAAGCAACCAAATATATATTTCAACCCTTTTGTCTTTAATGCCTTTCTTGGTCCTCTGCCTCTTGCAGTATCCTTTAGTTAGAGTAAACATTCTGGAAGCCACTGTCATGTTTAATTCTGTAGTTACACAACTAAAAGCACTCATGGATATCCACAGGTACCCATACCTCTGAGTTATTTCCACCTCTCTAGTAATGTAGGGTATTAATATTACTGGAACACAAAAGAACTCTGACATGTTGATCTGCTATCGTCCCCAATTGGGGGAGGGGGAGATATCTATCAGGTACCAAGGACAGGGTTAATATGTTGTATTAAGAACTGGAAAATGAAGAGAAGAAGGGATCCTCTAAGTTCAAAACCAACACTAGAGGCAAAACCAAACACTTTTCAAAGAAAAATGTCAAGTATTTTCTCTTCCTGAATTCCGACAAGGGTGAATAGTTAATCAGTATCTAGATAGGAAATCACCTACTTTTCTCTTGTCCCTTGCTTCTTTGGCAGGCATGGCTCTGAACCCTCCAAAACCGCAGCTGTCACTCCCATCTCTATCCCGGTGGCTGTTCCAGCTGCTGCTGCTGCCACTGCTGCTGCCATCACTGCAACCGCTGCCACCAACACTGCCACTGCTGCCACCAACACCACTATCATGGTAGCTGCTGCTCCAGTTCCTGTTGCTGCTGCTGCCCCAGCTCCGGCAAATGCTGCTGCTCTTGCTGCTGCTGTCTCTCTAGTTGCTGCTGTTTCTCCAGCTATTGCGGTCTCTCCAGCTGCTGCTGTCTCTCCAGCTGTTGCTGTCTCTCCAGCTGCTGCTGTCTCTCCAGCTGCTGCTGTCCAGAGTCCAGCTGCTTCATCTCTTACTTCTGCTACTGTTTCTCCCACTCCTCCTGCTGCTACTGCTGCTGCTGCTGCAGCTGCTGCTGCTGCTGCTGCCACTGCTACTGCTGTTCAGGTTGCTCCAGCTGCTTCGGCTCCAGTTCCAGCTCCCGCTCCGATTCCGGCTCCAGCAACGGCTCAGTCTTCTGCTCCGACTCCGACTCAAGCATCAACTCCAGCTCCGACAGCAGCTCCTACTCCAGCTCCAACTCCAACTCCAGCTTTGGCTCAGGCTGAGGGTCCTGCAAGTCCAGGTACCGGTTCTGGACCTCGCCGTTTGTCCACACCAAATCTGATGTGCAACCCAGACAAGCCAGGTAATTCCAATTTTTCTTGGCAGTTCTCTTCTGGTTGGTGCCTGCCATTTTGATAGAGTTGAATGTTTCCTGATGTAATAGGGATTGGGCAGAGGAGAGAAAAGAAGAACTTCTGGAAAGGTTTTCTCCCATTCACTAAAATGGAAATGGTCATGAGTGGCCATTTTCCCAGTGAAGTAGATGATGGGGATGTACCTGGTTGCACTTTTTGAAGGTTTTTGTTGTTGTTTTGTTTTGTTTTTTTAAAAAAACTATCTCTAATACTTCTGTACCCTCTCATTTCCATTTAGATGTTCCTGTTTTCCACTGCAGTACTCTGGAAAGAAAAGCACCCATTCAGATCCTGGGTCAAGAACCTGACGCAGAGATGGTGGAATATCTCATCTAAATGGCACAATCAAGAGCTGAAGTTATCAGCAAGAGCTCTTTTAACCACTTTTTCCCTTTTGTTTGTTTAATCTGGGGTGATGATGGGGTTGGGAGGTGGGGGTGATTTTTTAAAGGGACTTTTTAATTGGACTCTTGTAGTACTTAATACCATGAGAATTCCAGTCTATTTTGGAATACGTAGGGAGTACCTCAAAATGATAGGTTAAGCAGAATGTGCTCTAAAGCTTACTGGTTGGATTGATACAAATCATGGACTATTAACAGGTAGTGATGTCCACTGATTTAAGATGTTTCCATTTGTTTTTTAAGCGCCCAATTTGAGGTCATTTTTCATTGAAGACTACAGTATGTGTGGAAGGCAGTTTGGAACACGTAGTTCAGAAATGGAAATCCAGAGAGAGTTTGAGGCCTTGCTGCTTTGTCTAGCTTCTACCTAGACAACAGCCACAGAAAGTTCTCATTTTGAGCTGGGAAAAGACAATGTTTTTTAGGAGCTTTGAAAGCTGGAGAAAAGGAAGAGAGTATTGGGGTTAAGAAGGGTGCTGGAGCCAATTTTCTCTCCCAGTTGCCAGTTACCCTGCGCCCTCAAATTGATGGTGTTTATCTCCATTTCAATGGTGCTTTGGAAGTGGAGTCTTTTGGTTCCCTCCTGGAGGTTCATACATTCATATATGTACTCTGGAATAATTTATGCATTTGGATAATTAATATATTGCTTTCAGATGGTAGGAGAGTAAATGAACAGAGTGATGCATGACTTCCTCTCTCATAGGGAGCTTGTTGTTAGAAGCCTTGACTGGGGGCTTCGTGAGATGCTGCATGCAGGTTTCAGTGGTCTGGGAATAGTTATATGAACATGGCTCAGTCACCTTAAATGAGATCAGTTGACTGACTTAGCCTTTACTTCTTCCACAACGCAGATTCACTGGCTGATTCGCCAGTCTTTGTTTGCCAATAATTTGCAAAATGAGGAAAACATCTTTTTTGACAGGCTGAATGTGTTGAATTTCTGCCTAATACTTAGAAATATTTCATTTTTGTTTTCCCAAATTCTTGGCATGTGTCTTCAAGGCATATGCAACTGTCACCTCCATGGAAATAACATAAGACGTCCAAAGTACCAGGCTGCAGTCAGGAGAGAGGTTGATTGCAGCAATCTCCTCAACTACCTCTTCTCACTGTCAGTGACTCTATCTTGGAATCCCCTTAGGAAGCAGCTGGGAATGTATACATGGGCGGGACCAAACAGGGAGCCTTGCCATAGGGCTGCCTCTAAGGACACAGAGGCTGTTAGTTGTCATGGGTCCTTGTCCTTAGTCTCTGCCCTTCATTAAGGTAATAGAACTGCAGATAGTATCACTAAGATCAATTTGCAGGGGTATAGGGAGGGTAAGGGGAGGGGGACTATTAGGTAAAGGGGAGTAGAGGTTTAGTGATAGATTAAGTTAGAGATCACATTGCTTGTATATTATACCATGGGCTTTAGTGAGTGGGAAGGAACTTTATCTAGCAGTGTAGCTCTGCCTTCTAATTTTAGTGATGAGGAATCTGAGATTTGGAAAAGTTTGACTTTTTCAAGATCACACAGCACATCTGTCTCTTCTAACAATTACATACCCATTTGGGGGAAATGGTTATCTCTAAAGAAGAGCCTGTTTTTTGAAGAAAAGGTATCTTCCTAGTCTAGGGTGTGCCTACTTTTGAAAATCTTCTTGATTTGACTAGATTGTTTGTGGTTCTGAATTCTTGTCTTGTCTCTGCTGGAGTGCCTTTATGGAATTGTTTTTTTCCTCATCCCCCTTAATCATTGAGCTACATGAAATGCACCCCTAAGAAATCAACTCAACTGTTTTTACTATAAGACTGGGTGTCTTGGGTCATTTTATGTATTCCTCTGTGAGTATATAAGAGTGCTATATTTACCTGTATTCTTGTGTAGTTCCTAATTACCTTCCAAAGGATTTATTTGTGTGTGTGTGTGTGTGTGTGTGTGTGTGTGTGTGTGTGTGTGTGTAGATGAGGAAAAAAAATGTGAGTTAGTTGTTCTGTGGACTCCAGGGACAGAACTCAATCATCCAATACATTGGTCCTCAGTTAAACAGTAAATGCCAAATAGAAATTTGAAAGTGCAGTCATGTTAATAATGCTCATTCCCATCATTTTTGTTGCAAAGAAACAAACTTTCAGACAGTAGAAGAATCAGGCAGCAAGCAGCAGGAGAGTTACTTTCTGCCCCCGCAAATTAATGAAAATAAAAAACTTTTCGTGTCCTCTCTCTTGATGATAGCACATTGCTAGAGTTTGGGCTGACTCTGGGAGCCACGATCCTAATCACATTCTGTAAAGTGACAGATGTGATACATTCCACACTGTGTGGCAACCATCTCTTTAGAATTGTGTGTTTGGGGAAATAAGGACATCCTTGCTGAAGTTTTGAACTTTCCAGAACCTCTCTGGCCTGCCACACTAGAGATAGTCATTCTGTTCAATTTTCAGTCCTAGGCAATTTGTTACAAGGACACTATACATCTAAGCATGGGTGAAGACTATGTTGGTACAGTCTGTTTATGGATCATACAGACTCTACCTTTGAGAACATTTCTACTAGATATCAGTTTTAAAATTCAGTTTTATGGGATACATCTCAAAATAGCCACCTTCACAGTGTGTGGATGTAAGATTTGGAGCCTCTCCCTGGACTTCCTCCTGTCTATAGTAAAATGTATGAATTTTTCTGGCACCCCAGAAGAGGAGGGGGCATTTATTGTCTTAACTTTTACTGTCTGGTGGTTTCTGAGGACCTTATAATTCATTTGTTGCCAGCAATGTCCCATGTCCAGCAACATTTCTTTTGATTGAACTATACTTGATACAAAACTGTTAACATTGTTGGGGAAGTAAAGTCAGCTTGAATTTCTCCAGAAAGTCATGCATTGTGACTGTTGTCTTAATGAAGGTTTTCATTTCAGTGTTGTTTTTGAGCTTCGGGGTGACGGGGTATTAGAAACTTGAAGCATCTGCCACAATCCATGACAGGAAACAGAGCAAGATACCTGTCATGTTCTCCTTTTACTTTTGCACTGTTGAATGGGTCTAACAAATTGGTTCCCAAGCTCCTTTTTATGAAGAATCTAAATAATGTGGCAGCTTAAAATAGAGATGTGTGCTAACTTTAATACATGCTCATGTCTGTTAGCCATACAGTCTGTTATCTTAAATGCTCATTCATACATGGAATATGTTACTTAAAATGTGTTCCTTCCAGAAAATGTTTGCAAAGGGAGGTATTGGCTGTGGGTTCATTGTTACCAATTTCTGCCTGCCACAATCTTTAGAAATTCTTCCAAGTGCCACCATTGACAGTAGGACAAGGATTGGAAGCATGTACATTTTCTTCTCGTAGCAAGGGTGGGTTACAAGAAGCTTTCAAACCTCCTTCTGACCTGTGTTATCAATGGTCTATTTTAATAAAATGGCTAGATGGGGTTGGCAGATGGTTCGAGAAGAATTTTGGTGTAATAAATGTGGTCTCATAGTGATTGTGATCCTATTCTGTAATCAAGAGAACTAGATCAAATAAAGTTAAGCAGGTTAAATCCACTTTGTGCCTATCTTTTCACTGACAATAAAGTTAGCTGTTTGAAAATGCAGCCCTGTGTAGAAAATGCTTTGGTGTTTACTGGATATAGGCATTGTGTGAAGTTAGTGATTATTTTCAGTTCAGTACCCAGTAAATTGTCCTGCACCAGCAGCAGCAGAATTTGCATTTGCTCAAAGTATGGGAAGTGATTAAAAGTCTTCAGACAACACAACAGGCAGTATTCTCTAATCAGTCAAAAATATATCAAAAAGCTTTACACCGTTTTGCTTCCTTGTTCTGGAGGATAAAATGATGGCCACCTTAAGCAGAAAATTAATTTGGGGGTTAGCATTTTGGAAGCTCCCTCCCCCCAGTTTGGGATTCCTTTTGTAACAGTAGTAGTTGTGCCGATTCCATCAGTTGTGTAGTTGCAGGGTCTTGTTTATAAAGGCAAATCCCACCCATGCATATACCGGCAACACTAAGGGGTCAGTGGGTTTAGACAAAAGCATATGACAATAGGGAGGGAAAAGTGGAGGGGGAGGTATGGGGAGAGTTGGAAGGGTGGCAGTGGAGGTGGATGTGATCAAAACACATTCAAATATGAATGTAATTAATAAATAGAAACAAATCACTAAGGGCAAAATCTGCATCCATTTGGTCCTCACTAAAAATAGGTCTGCCTTTCCACTGCCTTCTCTGCTTCATGATTACTAACTAGTGAGTTTGAAACCAACCTGGGCAAGAAAGGATCTACAAGGACTTTGAAAGTGGCTTGTTTTTGATCGATGTTACAAATGAGATTGATGAGGGACACAGAATTTATACAACTATAAATATCAGTTGGGACTTCATTCCCTCGATAGTCATGGTGAATTATCTGAAAACTATGGATGAAAAACAGTCCCTCTTTTTCAGCACAAAAGAAAATGGTAATGAGTGAACCACATCTTACAAACCTTTGCCAACCAACGCATTCAGAAATACCTTGTTCCTGGTTTTTATAAAGCTTCGATTCAAGGGCCCATTCAATACATACGACATCACACATGTAGGATCATTTCTAGGTAGTAATTATGCAATTTGATGTCTGCCTGGTACTTACACCCCTTGGTGTAGGCCTTAGCTCCTGGGATCAGAAATCCCATTTGCCACCTTTCCTGCTGCCATCTTCCCCTACAGGAAATTTGGTTTGTTTGCTCATATGTTTGCTCACTTGCTTTGAAAAAACAATGCATATGCTTTGATCTTAGAATATCTTCTGCACTGACTGGTAATCATGTGATATTTGAGAGGAAAGTCCTCAATGGTAAGACTTACTCCCCACCACCTCCCAAAAATGTTCCCTTCAATATCTACATTGCATACAAGTACTCACTCTCAGATGCACCAAATGACCAAGAACATCTCTTTTGCTACCAATATATTGTCATTTACCAGTTACATCTGAGTTAAGTATATGTGAATTTTTGAGTACATACTTATTTGGTGTTGACATTTTGGGAAAACAACTAGAATACACAATTTTAAGGCCATGATTCTTTGAAATTAGGGAAAATGACACCCATACACAAATATGGGCACACATAATTAAAATTCATTGTGATACTTGAAATAACAAAACTTTGAACAAGTCAGAACTAGTGCAAGGGAAGGAATGGTTGTTGGGATGATTTGAGGGAAACTAGGTGCTAACCAGACAGACTAGGGGGCCTAGAAAACCTTACAGGTGAAAGGGTCAGTATGAGCAAAGCATGTCAAAGGACTATTTCCAAACACAAAGGTCCTAGGAAACTGCTATGACAGTTGAAAATCTCCAGAGTAAAAAAAAAAAATATCTGAAATCCCAATTAGGTGCTAGACAGTACTAGTGTGGAAGTCAACAGGGCATTGTGTTTGAGTACTGTCTCTGTCAATAAACAGACATTTACCCATGGATATGTTTTTTTGTAGGTTAAGAGAGGCCTATCAGTAAAATGGAAATATATAATTAGGCCTATCAGTAAAATGGAAATATATAATTAGTTCCTGTGTAGCTTGTGAGAAAATGGTATGAGAGCCACTCAGAATATTAAAGATAACAATCAAAGCAATAGACTAAAACAAAGGGAGACGGGGAATATTGAGTGTAACATACTGACTCAATGTGTATTTTTGGCATGGGTATGATCATGTCAAAGGCCCTTTCAGAGTCGGAGGGAAATGCGAAACCTGTTCTGGTCCATGTGTGGATGTTGATAGTGTGTGCAGAAAATGTTCACCATAGCCACCCCCAGATGTTTATGGCCCAAAGACTGCTCCCCTACATAAATTGCTCCTAATGAGATTAAGTAAGTCTGTCTCCTTGATCAAACTGTATGCCATAAACCCCGCCTCCTTGTTTGGCTAGATGCAATAATTCCTCTTCTCTGTTTGACTGTATTTAATAAACAGGCTGAGCTTTTGGGGGTGCTGTGCTTTCTCCTTCAGACAGTCCAGATGCTGACAGATTTCTGTCTGGTATGTCTGTGTGTTTGTCTTTACCTCATTCCCTTTCTACCCCACTTGGGTGTATCCCTGGATCTATGCTGGATGTGGTAGCAGATACATAAATAAGAAGTTTGTTTGAATTTTTAATTAAGAAAAATCCAATGCAAAAGTAGAATAGCTGAGGCACTTCAGTGGATGTGTTACTGGCCATTAATAGTTATGAACACATAGCCAGGCTTACTTCATTTATGACCCCTATTCACCTACTTTGTATTACATTTGAAGCATATTCCACACACCATAGTACTTTCTCATAAGGAATACTCATAAGGAAGAAATTTTGCCATAGGAAACTATACCACCTTACACATGAAACAAAACATTATCAACCA